ATCCAACAAGCCACTGTATACAGTCCGCACACTCAGAACCGCGCCCTTGCCAAGCAGTCATCTGTAATGGGCTAGTAGCTGTCAGTTTTGCCGCGCCTTAGTCAAAAATGAGGAATTATTTAGAAAGTAGTTGTGCCTTCTGTGCTGCTGCTGTCGCTGGTAACACGGAGAACTATGATTGCCTCCACCATCTTAGAAGACGCTTTGCAAGGGACGAATTTCCAAAGGTTTTGATGCACTTTGCAAAAGCGTATTCTAGCAGCGGCATTGATTTTGTAGCTTGTTGATATATAAGATAGTAATTCTGCACTGATCTGTGAGAAACTACTGATTGTATCAGTGTCCCACTTATCAAGCACGGTATGTGTTTAAGTTCTGTGGTGCAAATGACTTCTATAAATGCAGTTTAGAAGCTTCTGTCTGTCTAGAGAGGCATTCTTCAAGCTGAGTGGTGTTGTCATGCATCAGATAGTCAATTTGCATTGTCTTAGGGACGGTAGATACAAACAAAATCATTTACATTTACATTTGCTCAAGTAAAAATGATTCCTGCACACTCAGATACATGCGCTTATCCATGCAAATCTATCTGCAGATATAAAATATGTTGTTTAACTGTTTTATTCAGTGGGAAGACGAACAGACGAATCAAACCTTCTGACTGAGAAGCTGTCGACAACCAAAACTTGGAGAAATTTTCCTTGGCGAAACCTCCTTAACCTTGCATCTACGCTCTCCCTATTTACTTTAACCAATAAACATGACAACACTAAATCTGCCTGGATGCCTTAAGAGTATAAAGTACAGGGAAGAAAAGATCAACGAGCCTGGTTATACCCTGGTGGGGGCTCCGGTGGACCCTGACACTTTCGGCGAAGTCAGGGTAGGCGATTTTAATCAGCAGTGGTGGAGGAAGTTCCAGAGGGCGAAGCGGATTTCCAAGTTTGAGCCAGATGGGGTCGCCTCAACATCAGTGCTAGTGGTGATGGATGTGGCGGTAATCAAGT